CCTGTTGGTCAAACACAATTTGCTTCAACAAATTTCTCCTGATTTCATCTATCTGGCTCTAAATACCGATAAATCAGTTTTGGGTTATGGTTATCTCTCAAGGCTTCCCCACCATTACCATGAGGATGATGGACTGCAGTTGCTGGGTTTGATTCTCTGCTCATTTTTAAATAGGGCTGTAACATTTCTAATTCTTCAGTCCACTGGCACCACTGCTATGGTGAATGAAGATTGGAAGTTGTGGGCAGAGCCTCTGCATTTTCCATTCTATGTCCCTTGGCTCTATCCCATCTGAAACATGGATCTTTTTGACATTTAGGATCTTTGTTCACTCACTTTTGGGATGTGGGCGTCGCTGTCTGGGCCAGCATTTATTGCCCGTCCCTAGTTGCCCTACAGAAGGTGGTGGTGAGCTGCCTTCTTGAACCGCTGCAGTCCATGTGCTGTAGGTAGACACACAATACCCTTAGGGAGGGAATTCCAGGATTTTGACCCAGCGACGGTGAAGGAACAGCAATATATTTCCAAGTCAGGATGGCGAGTGGCTTGGAGGGGAACTTGCAGGAGGTGGTGTTCCCATGTATCTGCTGCCTTTGTCCTTCTAGATGGAAGTGGTCGTGGGTTTGGAAGGTGCTGTCTAAAGATCTTTGGTGAATTGCTGCAGTGCATCTTGTAGATAGTACACACTGTTGCTACTGAGCATCGGTGGTGGAGGGAGTGGATACTTATGGATGTAGTGCCAATCAAGTGGGCTGCTTTGTCCTGGATGGTGTCAAGCTTCCTGAGTGTTGTTGGGGCTGCACCCATCCAGGCAAGTGGGGAGTATTCCATCACACTCCTGACTTGTGCCTTGTAAATGGCAGACAGACTTTGGGGAGTCAGGAGGTAAGTTACTCATCACAGTATTCCTAGCCTCTGACCTGCTCTTGTAGTTCTTGTAACCTATTAATATTTAAAAGTTCATTCTTTTTCACTGTTTTCAGATAATCTAATTTCTCTACTATCCTATTCTTTTACACCTAGAAGGAACAAGAGAGAATTGTCAAAAAGGGGTGAATGAAAGGCGTTCAATGGTGAAAGCACCTGGAGACATATCTGAATGGAAAGGTTTGCAGGAATTTGGGAGAACAGCAGATGTCGCGGCTCAGATGAAATTGTGATGGCTAAGATCTGAAATTGACACAATGTGTACAAAAAACAGCCCAATGCTCAGACTCCATCCACACATTGAGCCCCTGCAACCAGCCTCCCCTACCCAGACACCCCCCTGACAAGGTTCCCCAGCCCAGATAATCCCCATACACAGTCCCCTTCCGGGGTCCGCTCACCCCCAGACCCCACATCCAGAGACCCTCAACCAACAGCCCACCAACAACCCAGGCGACTCCAGATCCAGAAGCCCCACATCCAGATACTGCCTTCCCTTGGCCGTAAGACTCGCCCCCACACCCAGATTCTCCCGGCACTCTGACACCAGGTTCCCCACAGACCCAGGCAATTCCCAGCATCCACTGACAGACCATCCCATGCCCCTTCGCACTCAGATGCCTTCCCTGACTCCCAGTACCCTCCCCTCCCATACCCAGACCCATGCAGACCACCTCATGCCTAGAATGATCCAAGTCCCAAGCCATTCGGCCCATCGAGTCTGCTCCGCCATTCAATCATGGCTGATAAGTTCCTCAATCCCATTCTCCTGTTTTCTCCCCATAACCCTTGATAATCAAGAACCTATCTATCTCAGTCTTAAATGTACTCAATGACCTGGCCTCCACAGCCTTCTGTGGCAGTGAATTCCATAGATTCACCACTCTCTGGCTGAAGAAGTTTCTCCTTATCTCCATTCTAACAGATCTTCTCTTTACTCTAAGGCTGTGCCCTCAGGTCCTAGTCTCTCTTACAAATGAAAACATCTTCCCAACATCCACTCTGTCCAGGCCATTCAGTATTCTGTACCCTACCTCCACAACATTGAGACTCCCCCAGCATCGAAACTCCTTTAAAAGCAAGACCCTGTACAAACTGCCCACTCCCCACTCTCCACCCACAGGGCCAGATTTCTGCAGATTAGGGCTGAACTCAAGGGAACAATAAAAATGGTGGATGGGGCCCAAATGCAGAAATGCCATCCTAATTACTGGCAGATGCCAATTTTGCCAGCAGGACGTGACTCACACAGGAGGAAAACTCCACGGAGTTATTTAAAATTAGTGCTGAGTTCAGACATCTCAATTTTGCGGCTTCAAGAGCCTTAATCCACTGAAATGGGGTCATGAACTGATGGAGTCAACATAAACATATTTGAAAGGACTGTCTGAGTGTCATGATCGGACAAAAATCTCCAGCCCTTTAAACATGGAAAATAAGTTGAAGCTTTTGGTTAGAGTTTTTGTTTTAAATGTCCTTTAATAGACTGCTTTGAACTGACAAGCTGTCTGGCATAGGCAATGAAACAAAAACACCCTCTATCTGTGCAGTTTCAATTGATGTTGATTGTAGACAATTTCCAAGGGCTGTTTTTGGAACAGAGGGCATCATGAATGCTTAGCTGATGCTCAAAAGATACAAAAACACACCTCAGAGGAAGGGGGGGAGGGTGACACCATATTTTGATGGTTGGTTTAAGCAGGCATTTAGTGGTTAGCTCCATTGACTGGACAGCTGGTTTACAATGCAGAATGATGCCCACTGCACGCATTCAATCCCCGCTTCGACTGAGGTTTTGTCATCTCAACCTCGTCCCTTATTTGAGATGTGGTGACCCTAGGTTGAATCCCGACCACCTCTAACGAGAGAGCAGTCTTGTAGGGCAGCGGTGGCTTTATTGTTACAGTTGCTGAATACAAGTTGGTTTACCTTTGTAACAAATTAAATGCCTAAGGGGATTTAAAATGTTCGAGTGGGTTTGATGGGTAGATTTTATTTTCACTATTGAGTGAGAGAATTCCATTGCATTGTCAGAAAACTTTGTTTTCATCTCTGCAGGACTTCTTGAGGTCAGTCTAAATGGATAAGTGGCTTCTGAGGTCATAGGGTGGCATTGAAGTGCCATGGGGCATGGAGGGTATGACAGGACATGAGTTAACATGGAGGAAGCTGCTAGGAAGAGGTATGGAGAAAGACTGGGGAGGCACATGTTGGCACACTGGAGGTAAAGACGAGATCTAAAGGACCTCACAGTTACTAAACCAACAGAGTGAAGTCACAAATACAGAGGTGGACTTCCTAACTCAGTCCCCCTCAGACTTATCTTGCTGTTGCCTCAGACTTACCAACGTGCCACCCTCTCACCTCTGCCTTTCGTCAGCCCCACTTTGAGCTGCATTTGATTAACACCCATGGGTTCTACACTGCATTGGCTCTGTACCCTTGTCCTGCTGTCCCCTAGCTGTTTGTGCAATTGGCCCGTCAGGTTCAGAACCAGATGGACTGGCACCTCTGGATCTGCACTCTGTTGGCACAGTGATGCCAAGGTGAAAGGTCATCCGCCTGCAGGATGAACTGATGGTTCTCTCTCATTGTCCGAGACCGGACCTACTCTAACCTGTGTTCAGCCGCTGGGTGTTCTGCTGGTCTTGTTGCTGTTGCTGCTGTCTACGAGCGAGTTTCTTCATCTGGTGAAAGAGAGAGAGAGAGGGCATTACTGTTCAGAGAGAGAGAGAAAAGAAAATTAATCTGTCCCTCCCACAGCGAGGGGTCGCTGTGTCCCTCCCACAGCGAGGGGTCGATCCGTCCCTCCCACAGTGAGGGGTCACTGTGTCCCTCCCACAGCGAGGGGTCACTGTGTCCCTCCCACAGCAAGGGGTCTATCCATCCCTCCCACAGCAAGGGGTCACTGTGTCCCTCCCATAGTGAGGGGTCTATCTGTCCCTCCCACAGCAAGGGGTCATTGTGTTCCTCCCACAGCGAGGGGTCACTGTGTCCCTCCCACAGCACGGGGTCTATCTGTCCCTCCCACAGCGAGGGGTCACTGTGTCCCTCCCACAGCGAGGGGTCACTGTGTCCCTCCCACAGCAAGGGGTCTATCCATCCCTCCCACAGCAAGGGGTCACTGTGTCCCTCCCATAGTGAGGGGTCACTGTGTTCCTCCCACAGTGAGGGGTCACTGTGTCCCTCCCACAGCACGGGGTCTATCTGTCCCTC